CAGGCATATGAATTTATGGACTGAAAGAGAAGATGCAGAAACAACCTTGGGAACATTCATTTATCTGATCTTTGACAAAGGGCCCAAAAACATATGCTGGAGGAAATACCACATCTTTTCAAATGGTACTGAGAACACTGGGCATACATATGCATAAGATTAAAGTTAGACCCATATATCTCACCATATACTAAGCTGAAGTAAAAATAGATCAAATGTACAGAAGCATTTCACCTAATAGGAGATAAAATAGGTAAAATTCTTGAAGACCAAGACATAGGCAAGGATTTTCTAAGTAGAACCCCAAATACACAAAATATAACATCAAGGATCAATGAACGGGGGCTGGGGATTTAGCTCAGCAGTATAAGCGCCTGCCTTGTAAGCACGTGAGCTCAATCCCCATTACCAATAAAAAAAAAAGAATCAATGAATAGGATTATACAAAAGTTTAAAACTTATGCAAAAGAAACAGCCAATAGAGACAACTTACAGAATGCGAAAAAATTTGACAGCTATACCTCAGACAAAGGATTACTGTCTAGAATATATAAAGAAATTAAAAAATTAGACTCCAAAAATAAAAACCCCGTCCAAAAATGGGCAACTGAAGCCAATATGACACTTCTCAAAAGAAATACAAATTGTCAATAGATACATGGAAAAAATGTTCAACATTTCTGGTCATTAGAGAAACGCAAATTAAAACACTGAGATTCTATCTTCTCCAGGAAGAATCGCTATTATCAAGAAACAAATTCCTGTGGTTGCAGAGAAAGTGAACCTTTCCACATTGTTGATAGGAATGTAAAGTAGTATAACCACTATGGAATTCGCTGTGAAGATTCCTCAAAAAACCAAAAATATGCATTCTATTTGACCTGACTATACCCCTTTTAGAAATCTTCTCCAAAAAAGTTAAAGCCATTGTATTATAGTGATACATGGATACCCATGTTTGTAGAAGCAAAACTCATAATAGCTAAATCTTGGATGCACCTTACATCCATCAACAGATGAAAGGATAAGAAAAACATGGTATTTATACACAGTGGAGTATTACTCTATTATATAGAAGGATAAATTTGGATGATTTATGGGAAAATGGATGCACCTTGAGATCATAATGCTAAGTGAAATAAATCACACACAGAAACTTAAATATTGCATGATTTATCTTATATGAGAAACTCAAGGTATAAATACATTTTTTAAAAAGACAGATAATAGGAAATAGGAAGAGAACCAATGGGAAGAGGACCAAGAGAAGGAAGGAATGAAAAGGATGGGGAGGGGAACGAGACACAGAAATAATTAGGATGTGCTATGCACATTTACTCCCCCTGATGAGTGCAATCATTATGTACTGCGAACATGTGCAAATAAAAGTAAAAATTGAAAATCTATCTATAATTCAGGGGAGGACAATCAGTAACAGTTTTCTGATGATACTATAAAATCTAATATATTTCCATAACAGCATGTCTAATACAAAATTTGCCAGAAACTTGAAAACTTGATCTTTCATATTTAACACTTTAAATGATCCCCCAAAAGCATGATTTTCATATACTACTATTAAAATTTTAAACTTATATCATGTATAAATGCTCACTGAGGATATTAAGTATACACCACCCCACCCAATATTCCCTACCACCCCACACATAATGCAATTCAGACATGAATGTGGGTATGTGTATGTGTATGTGGTGTACATGTGTATGTATACCTCCCTGATTTTTTTACATATTTTTTCCGCCATAGAGCTTAAGCTACAAATAAGTATGACAAATAACAGAAATGATGAGGGGGAAATGAAGAAAGGAAGGAACATTCTGTAGCATTTCCCTACACCCAGCAGATGGTGCTACTGACACATCACTGCCATTCAGACAGGCAGAACAGTATTGTATAATGGCATGAACACTTTAATTCATTCTTGCCAGTTTGGTGAAGTAATGTCTTAGATGAGACATTCCCTTGCTCAAGAAATAGATCCACAACCTTCCTTTTCCAACACATGAATAGTTCCTCATTTCCCAACTACTAGAAAAAATCAGATTTGAGCTTTTAATCTTATCTTTTCCACTTAATAGCTAAGTGACTCAAAACTAGTTGGACAGTTTCCCAGAACCTCATTTTCCTCATATGCAAAAAGGGGCAAAAATATCTGCATTATTGAGTTGGTATCAGGATTAATGATATGATGTACATCAGCACACATTTTAAGAATACAGTGTTTATTCTTCTAGCAACACACTGACAGAGAGAGACACTCAAAAATCCAGATCACGACACGGTGCATGCTATCAAAAATTTCAAATCCTGAAACTTACTGTCTCCAAAAGGAAAAATCACTAATCAAATTTATAATAAGTCATCCCTGTGACTACATAGTACACACACCAGTAAAATCATGTACCTCAGTTTTAGAAAGAACTTTTGTGATAATCTATTCCAACTCTTACATTAATAATACTCAGTAGGGACAGAAGTTAAAACTCATATTCAACATGCCTCTGGCTTTCTTGACAAAACCAGAAAATAAAGTTCAACAAAATTCTGGTTGGTCAGCTCAACAAAATTCTGGTGGGTGACGATACTGAAAGAACAAAGCATTAAAAGAATTAAATGTTTGTAAGACATGCCAAAATATTGTTTACTTGATACATGAAAGTATCCTTGACAATAAATTAGATTATTATACAGTTCTTTGTACTTCCAGTCAATGTAGATGCTGAAATTTTCTTCCCTACATCAATCCAAAATTTACCACCCTTTGATGAGTACCTAAAGATTCCTTACTCTGTTCTCTTTCCTTACTCACTTCCTCACCTTCCTCACTCGACACACAATGAAATTCACAGACATTTTCCCTCTCATCAGATTGACTGCTTCTGATGTCCCATAATTCCCAGCCTTCTCTTCCATGTGAGGTTTGCCTCTCCCAAAGAATTTTCCCTGACAAGCAAATGAAGGAGTAGGAAGTAGCAAACTATGAGTCATAGCCATGTGAAACATACCAATTTTTGTGCTGTCCAGCAGAATGTTTTTTATAAATTAAACCAGTTGAAAAACGTGACATGAAATTATATGAAATTCATATCGTTTACGGATACTTCCATGCTACAACAGGAGAGTTGAGTAGCTGCAACAAAAACCAACAAGTTCACAGATAACTCATATTTATTATCTAGGCTCATACAAAAATGTTGCTGAAAAAGCTTAGGAGAACACTGGTCTCAAGGGCATATTCACTTGGGATAATATACGGGTAACCCTTTCCTCTATCAGAGACAACTTCACTCAACAAATTCCACCTCCCCTTCACTCCCACAGTCTCAGTCACACCTTTAAAAAGGTCATTGCTCTGATTAAGCATGGCAACCTGGCCCTAATCAGGCATCCTAAGGAAATACAACTACACAATGCATACCGATCCCATAGCACTCTGCATAGTTCACAGAAAAATAAATAAATAAAACACTCAACTTAATGATGGTTGAATTTGGAGTCACGTAATTACCACTTGCCAATAGTTGCTACTACTCTTTCTCAAATCCCAATTATCATATTGCCCAAATTGTAAGTCTAGGTCACTTCAGTTTCAGTAAAATTTGTGTCATACATTCACAATAGAGAGAACATGAAGAAATCTCATTAGGGGTAAGCAGAGATTTCCAGTGCTCATGATGGGACTGGAATGATGGAATGATGGCAAAAGAGCAGGCAGGTTCTAATCATACTGAGAAAGTTATCACCCCTTTGCCACTTTGAATTCAACACAAATGACACATATTTATTGAAGACCTTTATATGCTAGGAATATATTGGTCTCTAAGTGACATGGGAATAAACAAGGCCCATTCCCTATCTCAAGGACCTCATAAGTAGAAATTATACAAGTACATAAACAAATGTATATAAGAATAATTAACCAAATTATTAATATTGAACCAAATAAATTGTAGTAGTTATTTACAGCTAGTAGGTTCACAGTTTTTATTTTCTTTTCTACTTCAATATTCTAGTTCAATATTTTCTAATTTTTATATTAAACATTAATTGCATAGTAAAACAATCATGAAAAATAAAATATGGTAAATAACATAAATATACAATTATGAACTAAATAATTAATTACAACTCTGCTAAAAGGTTTCTCTCAAGAAACACTTCACATAGGAAGGCTAACTGGGATTCTCAACAATTGATAGTCACCAGGGGACAGTGAAGAAAGATATAAGAAGGCAAAGAAACATGAACTAACATTATATATTCATGAAGATTGAGATAGTTAATTATGACTGGAACATAAAGAGGAATACAGAAAGAAAATTTGAGCTGGAGAACACCCACATCCAAGATAATGAGGACATACTTCTCTTCCCAATGCTGTATGGTGGCTGAAGTGAAATTTAAATTGTCAGTGGGCACTTAAGTTTAAGTAAGTTAAGTAAATCAAGTTAGTTATAACTTAATATAGTATAAAGAACAGCCTCTGCATCCATTATTCATTCCAAGAGATAATCATAAACTCAAAGCAGACACCTTGGCTAGAATTTCATATAAATTTCAGCTCAGACTGGGAAAGTCTGACTAGATGACCTTTAAAGTTCCTTTTGAATGCTAAATTCCATGATTCTTTGACATTTGGGAACTGATGTCCCTGTACATACTCTATTCAACCTCTATTAAAGTCCACACAATTTGTTGTCAATGCATTGTGCCACATACTGAATGAATACATGAAGAGGCCTTCTTTCAGTGTCCTGTGACCGGTAGGTGGGGCTGATACTAGCCCAGATTTGAGAACTGCTATTGCAGTCTCAGGTGAGCATGTAAGAAAGTAAGAAGGTAAACACCTAGAAGGTGGAGATACAGAAGGAGCTAAACTTGTTTAGGAATGTATTAGGACACCTCCAAGAGTGCAACTCCTCCCTCATATGGACCATTATCCCTTCTATAAAAAGGCCATTATCCCAGTAGCAGCACCCTGCAAGCTGCTTCAGTCTCCATCCTACTGTTCCTCTGGTGAACTAGGTAAGTAAGCAAGTGTTTAGTACTGCTCAATTGCTCATGGGTTCTTAAGGCTATAAAGTCCAAGATGTGCTCTAAAACAAACAGGAACTGGTATACAATATGTGTGTGCATAAATATATTATGCTTTGGATAACTTTGGTATGTTTAACTTTGCTGAAAAAGAAAATGAAGCAATGACCAAACTACGTGTAGGACATCCTTTTTGGGGATCTTTGCTTAAGATCATGGGACTCTAGTTACCAACTAGGCAAGGTCTCTGTTTAACTGCCAAGCTTTTTTTCTCTGCTGTATAACCAATAAAGCGTGAGGGTCAGTCTCTGTGTGGAGAATGAAAACAGAAGCTAAATCTGACAGCAGTAGCCCCCTAGTTTCATATCACCTAATACTGTGGCTGATTTTGCCCACTTTGTTTTCCTTGACTAGTCTACAAGTCTTGAGGATCCAATTTAGCCACTAGTGCTCTTTAGTTGGAGATCAGGGTCCTGTCCTCTGAAGTGTGATGGTTGAACCTAAAAAGAAACAGAGGAAGTAGACCAATTAGCAGGCTCAGGATTTCTATAGTTCAGAATAAAGTAAATGCCTCTGGTAGAGGTGGGGAGCCCAAAATAGAAGACTGTCACTCTTACATTTATTTAGTAATGGAAATACAAAACATGGGTCCTGTTCCTAGTGTCATCATTCTCTTGCTATATGAACTCAACAAATCAATCAATTCTGAATTAGTTCTTGTTTAAAACAGAATAAAACTACCATGGCTAACTGATTGATTCAGTTCTCTGAATAATTAGCATCTATTTATATGTTGAAGAAAAAAAGGAATAGCAAGGCATGGTAGCTCATGCCTATAATATCAGCACTCAAGAGGCTGAGGCAGGAGGATTGCCATGAGTCTGAGGCCAGCCTGGCCTATATAGTGAGTTCAAGGCCAGCCCACAATACACAGCAAGACACTACAATAATAAGAAATAAGAGGTATATTTCTCCCTTCCCCTCTTTTAGGTTAACTTAAATTTGCAAAAAGATGCCTAAACTCCTGCAAGGCATTGTCACTGTCATTGATGTTTTCTACCAATATGCTACCCAGCATGGGGAGTGTGACAAGTTGAACAAGGAAGAGCTAAAAGAACTTTTGGAAAATGAATTTCACGAAGTTCTAAAGGTAATAACTTCATGTTATGACTGAATTCTGCAATTCTCTTCTTTGCCTCTTTCTAACTTTTTATCATATATGTCAATCATTTGAGAGGATGCTCCCCACTTGACAATACAGAATTGACATTTGGTGGGCTTGAGAGACCATCAAAAGTTGACCCATAATGGATCACCAAGTAATATATGACCAAGTAAATTATCCCACTAAACATCAGACAAAATATATAGATTTTTAAAATGTCCTATCTATGGGAGCAATTGTGGCAGTCCTCAAAAAATTGCCAACTATGTGAAATGCATCTTGTTACGTATCTTCTTTCTTCAGTCCAAAATGTCCACACCATTGTCCATTTCTGAGATTCTGGTAGTACTAAAAGGCATCTGAGTTCTGGAAATTGTTATTTACACTTGCATCACAAGAACAACCACTACCTTAAAAGTGTCAATTCTAAAACTAGGTATTTGAGTGTTTAAACCTACCTCTTGAGTTTCAATCCCTTAAATTTAACTGCCTACTGAATATTATTTGGCTCGCTATGGATGTCTTAAGTTGATCAGATATGAATTTTATCATCTTCCTCTCTAAATCACTCCTTCCCCTTTTCACTCAAGGTAGAAATCTGTTGCCATTCTCTATGTCCTTACTCTCAGTAGGCACCACCACTTTCCTATCTCCATCCAGTTCATCAACAGCCCATATCTATCACTACTTGTTAGTGCATCTCCTACTTCCAATCTCAGCATTAGATGCTCGCAATCCTTCAACAACTTGCACCTGCTCTTAATACAAAATCCTTAACATGACTTAAAAGTTGTGATCCAGTCCCTATTTATTTACTTCTCTTTACTTTTCACTCTAAACCCAGAAATTCTTTCAGTTCTCTGAATGAGCTATGCCCTCTCTCACCTTTAGCTCTTTGTTCACATCATTCCTTTTGCCTGGAACAATCTTTTGCCCCCTCTTGTTTCCTTTCTACTTCTTCATTTGGCTAATTCTAATCCATCATTAAAAAGCCACTACATCCACCCACTAACCTTTCTCAGATTCAGAATAATTCTCTTCCAGTGCCCTCAGGGAAATCTTCTCACAATAAATTGCAATTGTAAACCTGTGTATCTGCATTAAACTTTAAGCTGCGTTTTTTCACAATATTCATGTTTACTGATTTATTCCCTAATATAATACAATGATAAGGAGATAACAAGTAACAATAAATTTGAATGAGTTAATCAATTTAATTGGATGAATAAAGTTTATATACCTAATTATATAGTTAATTCAGATATCTACAATTATTATTTATAAATTAGCTAACTATTCCTACTTGATCATGCTTCACCAAAAACTTCCCTTTCAAATTCCAATTGTATCTTCTAGCTATTTCTCACTGCATTATTCATTGTATACTCCTTTCTCACTGCTGAATATAGGACAATCCAGAGCAAAGTACTTTGTAATTCAGCTCCACCTAAATATGCCAAGCACCACATTTGTCCAAAATTTCTCCAGCTGGTTACCTGGCTCTATAATACACACTGATAGAACTGCCTTTGTATCTTATTCCTACACAGAACCCAGATGATCCAGATACTGTAGATATCATCCTGCAAAATCTGGATAGAGACCACAATGAACAAGTGGATTTTACTGAGTATCTTCTGATGGTATTCAAGTTGTCTCGGGCTTGTAATAAAATTGTTGGCAAAGACTACTGCCAAGCTTCAGGGTCAACACACAAAGATCATAGTCATAAGCACCAAGAGGAACAGAGTGACACAGAAGAGGAAGGAAAAGGCCAAAAATCCTCTTCCATTTACTCAAGTTCAAGCGCAGGAGAGTATGGTTCCTTTTCCAGGGATTCCAGAGGAAGCATTAAACCTAAGTCTAGGTCCACCTCCAGAAAATTGAAGCATGAAGACTTGTCTAGTTCTGAGCACAGAGGGAGCTCTAAGGAAAGGACAGAGTCAAATTCAGGCTACTTCAAGGATAATGAAAAAACCAAGTATGGCTCAAATCAACAATATAAGAAAAATGCAGGCCAATCCCCTAATCAATGGCATCATGGATTCAACTCAAGCAGCTATGAAAAACAAGATTACTGGTCAAATTCAAATGACCTTATTAGTCAACAACAAAAATACGGTTCTGAACCAAGACAGTCCTCAAGCTATAAAGAGTATGAGTATGAATCAGGTAAGGCCACAAGTAATAACAAAAATAAATTAAATTCCTATCAGCCCTCTACTCAGAGAAAACACAGCAGTAGCTCTAGTCATCATCTAGAAAGCTGTGAACTGGAGTATGGGTGTGGCTCAGGACAATCTTCCAGATATGGTCAGCAAAAGACTAGATCTGGAGAGTCTTCTAGCTATGGACAATATGGTTCTGGGTCCAGCCATTTTTCTAGGCAAAAATATAAATCCAGTGCACATGGGCATTCAGGAAGTTGTGAAAATCAAACACATAGCTCTGGATCAAGTCAATCCTCTAACTACGGAAAATATGGATCTGGCTGTAGTCAACCTCCTAGTCAGAAATACCATGAATCCACCTCAACAAGTTATGAACAGTATGGGTCAGGGTCAGGTAAGTCATCAAACTGTGGTCAGTATGGATCTTCAACTGGTCAGCCCTCAAGCTTAGGACAACATGGATCTAGATCAGGCAAATTTTCTAGCCACAGTCAACACAGGTCTGGTTTAGGTCAGTCATGCAGTTATGGTGAACAGAGTTCAGGCTCAGAACAGTCTTCAAGATATAGTCAATATGGATCTGGATCAGGCCAGTATTCTAGCCATAGGCCACATCAGTCAAGTTCAAGAGAGTCATCTAGTTTTGGCCAACAGGAATCTGGCTCAGGTCAGTCTTTTGGTTTTAGTCAGCATGGATCTGGCTTAGGTCAGTCCTCTAATTATAGACATGGTTCTTCATCAGGACAGACACCAAACTGTGACCAACATGGATCAAACTCAAGTCAGACTTCTAGTTGTGGACAGCATGTGTCTGGATCAAACCAGTCTTCTAGGCACAGGCAATATCGGTCTGGTTCAAGTTCATCTCCTAGCAGTGGTCAGCATGGCCAACACAGATCTGGATCAAGCCAATCTTCTAGGCACAGGCGATATCAGTCTGGTTCAAGTTCATCTCCTAGCAGTGGTCAGTATGGCCGACACAGAACTGGATCAAGCCAATCTTCTAGGCACAGGCGATATAGTAGGTCTAGTTCACAGCAATCTTCCAGCAATGGTAGATACAGATCCGGCTCAGGTCAGTCCTACATCCACAATCAACATGGATTTGAACCTGGTCAGTCCTCAAAGTTCAGCCATTCTAGGTCAAGTCATTCTTCTGGCTTTGGTCAATATGGATCTGGTTCGGGAAGGTCATCTAGGTTTGGGCAACATGGTTATGGCTCAGGAGAGTCCTCTAGCTTTGGTCAGCATGGATCTGGCATAGACCAATCCTGTAGCAATGGGCAACACAGTTCAGCTTCAGGAGAGACACCAAGCTATAGCCAACAGCGGTTTGGCTCAAGTCACTCTTCTAGCTATGGCCAACATGTGTCTGGTTCAAATCAGTCTTCCAACTACAGCCAATATGGGTCTTCCTCAGCACAGTCTTCTGGCTTTGGCCAGCATAGATCAGGCTTAGATCAATCTTCCAGCTATAGTCACCATAGGTCTGGTTTAGGTCAATCTTCTAACTATGGTGGATACAGGTCTAGCTCAGGTCAGTTGCCTCGCCAGGGCCAATGTGGGTCTGAATCCAGTCAATCTTCAAGGTTTAGCCAACACGGGTGTGAATCAAATCAGTCTTCTGCCTTTGAGAAACATGAATCTGGCTCAGGTCAGTCTTCTGGCTTTGTTCAACAGGGGTCTGGCTCAGAAGAGTCTTTTGGTTTTAGTCAGCACAGATCTGGCTTAGGTCAATCACCTAGTTATGGACAACATGGTTCTTCATCATCATGCTGTGGTCAGCATGGATCCAACTCAGGTCAGTCTTCCAGCTATGGTCAGCAAGGGTCTGAATCAAATCAGTCATCTGGCTATGGTCAACATATATCTGGATCAGGCCTGTCTTCTAACCAAAGGCAACATGGGTCTTACTCAAGAGAAACTTCTGGCTTTAGTCAACATGAGTCAGTTCCAGAAGAGTCATCTGGTTTTAGTCAGCATGGTTCTGGCTTAGGTCAATATTCTGGCTGTGGACAACATGGCTCAATATCAGGACAGTCATCATGCTGTGGTCAACATGGACCCAACTCAGCCCAATCCTCCAGCTATGGTCAATATGGATGTGGTACAAATCAGCCTTCCAACTCTGGCCAATATGGATCTGCCTCAAGTTGTTGTTCTAGTCATAGCCAACATGGATATGCCTCAAGTATGCCTGAACACTATGAGTATGGTTCATGTCCTTCATCTGTCTCTGGACAATGTGGTTCTAGATCTGGTCATTGTTCTAACTCTCAACAATATGGATCTGATTTATGTTACTCATCTAGCTCTGGGCCATGTGGTCCTAGACCTAGTCAGTGTTCTAGTTTTGAGCAACATGAATCACAAGGAGGATGTGGAAACCAGTGGAAATCTAGAACCAATACTATCAATAAATTGTCATTTTGCAATAAGGACCACGGACAAAGTAGCTATCATCCCCAAAAAGAACAAGCAGACAGCTGTAGAGAGGGAAGTACAGGCTCAAGATCCCAAAGTTTCAATAGTAGCACTCCACTCTATGAATATGTCCAACAGCAAAAGTATTAAAAATAGAAATGAATAATGAATACAAGTGAAACTAACAAGAACAGCAATTTTAAAAATGAGAAACTGTTACAAAGAAGCAACTCATCAAGAAATTTCTATGCTTCATCTTTTTCTTTTAAACCTTAATTGTACTTTCTACTACTTGTTATTTGGCTCCTTCCCCCCAAATGTAGGGTGTGTGAGATAGTTTTTACGTAATATTGAGTTGAATATATGACCAATATGGGGTTAAATTTGGAAAAATAATGCAAAGTATTTTAGGAACTTGGATTTTAGTGAAGGTATCTTTTTGACAGTTCATTATTTAATCAGGGATAATGCCAAAGCTAACAATGTGGTTTTAAAAAATTAGATACTGTAAATATACCATACTAAAGTTAAAGCTTTCTCTAACAGCTACATGTAATCAGATTTGGGGGGTATCCGATATAGAATAGAAGCAAAAATCAAATCCTAAAGGCAAAGATATACCACTGATAGTGTGTTGGCTACACTCCTTTATTTTTTGAGCACATCGTTTGTTAGGTAACTAACTGGTAATATGAAGAGTTACTTAACATGCTACTCCTAGGCCAAGCAAGAACATAATTTCTCAATGAGCAAGTTGGAGCAGTTCAGGATCAAAGGATCCAAATGTAGGTTTTAACCTGCTTTCAACAAAAAGATCTCAGTTCCTACTTACTTGGCTCCATATTTTTTCTGTGTTTTTTTTTTCTCTCTAAAATTAAAAAATAAATTAAGTAATTAAAAATAGAAGTTGGGCTCAGATTAAAAAAAACTTTAGAGGTGCTTAATATAGAAATATAATAATTCCATGTAGGAGAATATCCATACTCAGATAGGAAGAAAGACTATCACTGTTATATAGTTCCTTTTTTTGATTGTAGTGAATTTGTTTCAAGTGTTTGGATTCAAATAACTGCATTGCATTAAAACTGGCAATGAATAAATGGTGATCAAATATACTGTGCTTTATCTTCTTTTGGATTCATTTCATTTCTCTAACACAAGTGGTCAAACTAGAATTCAATACAAGTAGCACTTTCCCTAAGTCCTAATCTTCACAAACAACCCAGACTGTATAGTTTTTAAATTTTATTTAATAAGATAATTTCATTTGAAAAAGGCCAAAATTTTATGATACTGTTCTTGGCCCTGATATTTTAGATATAACACAGATAGCAAAAGTGAAAAACAAAGAGGTGATACTATAAAAACAAATAAATAAGATTGCATCAAACTGGAATAAACAGAAATAAAACTACAACAAGTGAAATAAACCAGATACAGAAAGACATAAAGACATTTACTGTATGGCCTCACTTATATATGTAATCTTAGAAAGTCAAACTCACAGAAACAAGAGTAGAAAAATGATTATTATGAGTCAGGGGCTGGGACAAACAGGAAGGTGCTGGCCAAAGAATACGAACTCTCAGTTACAATACAAATAAATTCTGGAGAACTTACAGCACCATAATTGTAGGGAATAGTGAATGTATTTTATCTTGAAATCTGCTAAAGAACAGGTTTTTTTCACTTTTGTATTTTATGAAAAAACAAAAACAAAATCACACAACAAAATAAGAGAATAAGAACAGTTAATACACTATATATCATTATCTTCAAAATACTCAGAGTACAAGGGATAAACCAAAATGATTCTTACAAAAGGAGAAACAAATGGATAATACAAGACTTTAGAATGATCTAAAATAAACCAGTAGTATAAATGAAACAAATTGGCATACATACACACATATATATATATATTTTCATAATATATATATATATTTTCAAACAACAAAGCATGTAATTTGGGGAAGTATCTGAACTCCTCCTTTCTATTTATCTCTCTTCTATTTTGTTCTTTATTTGCATATATACATATATATACTTTTTTTCATTTAAGAGAAATAACATGATATTAGAGCTTCTATGTCCAATTTATTTCACTAAATATTATGTTCTCAAACTGCATCCATTTACACATGAGTACCTCAAGTTTATCTTTCTTTATAGTGGCATAGCACTTCAATGTATATAAATAATACCTCTGTAAACTAGTCCAACTATAGAAATCAGTGATTCCTCAAAAAAACTAAAAATAAAAATTCCATTTGTCCCAGCTATCCTTTCTAGGCATCTTCCCAAAAGAGTTAAAATCATCATATTATCATATTACAGGGATACATGCATACTCATGTTTATAGCACTATACTTGAAAACAGCACATATATCCAACAACAAATGAGTAAGAATAGATCTTAAATGTTCTCATATTGAAAAATGGTTAACTATTTTTCAATATGAGAACATATATTCTAAATTAGCTTAATTGTGGTAATCATTTCAAAATGTATACATATCAAAACATTACATTTTAAATCATAAATACAGCTCCTCTTCCCTCCATGGACCTGGGGGCTGGCGGACGTTGGCTTCGCTCCTCCTCCTCCCTTCACAGATCTTGGGATCAGAGGAAATTTCAGCCTCACTCCTCCTCCTCTCTCTCTGGATCCTGGGGTCAGTGGATATCGGCCTCCTTAAATGACCTGGGAGTTGGAGGAAATTTTGGCCTCACTTCTCTTCCCCTCTCCATGGTTCTAGGGGTCAGAGGAAACTTTGGCCCCACTCCTCCGCCTCTCTCCATGGTTCCTGGAGTCAGTGGACATCGGCCTCAGCTTTCCTTAACTGACCTGGGGGTTAGAGAAAATTTTGGCCTCAACTCTCTTCCTCCCTCCATGGATCTAGGGGTCAGAGGAAACTCTGGCCTCACTCCTTCTCCTCCCTCCATGGACCTAGGGATCAGTGGACATCAATCTTCTCCTCCTCCCTCCAAGGACCTAGAGGTCAGACAACATTGGTCTCACCTCTCTCCCCTCCATGGACTTAGGGGTTTGCAGGATTGTTGGTCATTCTGCCTCCCACCTAAAAGACAACAGCAGCCCACAGACCACAAGCAACCTTTCCATCACCTGCATAATCTCGGTGGGATGGTTTGGGCATGGCAACCCTTCACCTACACAGAAGACCTAAGCAGGCTTGTGACAGTGTAATGAGTTTCCCCCTGAAATAGAGGACCTCAGTGGGTAAACAGGAGCTGCAGAGAACTCCTCTTCAGTTGTAGGACCTTGGCAAGTCTGGCAAGAGTGTGGATGAGTCCTTCCTCCACATAGAGAACATCAGGTGGGTTGAGGAGAGTTCCAACAAGGCCTCCCCCAACCTAGAGGCAATCAAAAGGGCCTATAAAAACCCAGTGATACAGAAGGTTCTCAGCTGAGGTACACACTAAGGCCAGGTAGATCTGGCAGCCTGAAACAGCCTGAAACCATAGTAACAATAGAAGCTAAAGGTTGACTTATATCACTATTCCTAGGCAAGTCAACCTAGGAAGAATACAGGACTCACCCAACAGGCCCTGCAGGACAATTCACATGACTGGCTCATCCCCCTTCTTTGTAGGACCCAGCAACAGGACAAACATCAACCACACAGTAGGACCCTAAGACATACACAATGGACAGTTGAGACTAGTGGGATTGAAAAGATCAAAATATTAACACAAGAATGACAAATGACAAAACAAAAAAGTAAAATGAAATCTCAAATGTCCAGTCCATCAGGAATAAGTACATAAGACATTGAATGGCATGGCCATTGTTGGAGCTTTTAATCAGATTATGTTATGAATCAAAGGAAAAGAACACAGCAGAATGATTTGAAATACTGTGAGTTTGGCCAGAAAGAAAGCTCCAGTAAAGCTGTGAACTGTAAAGATAGAACTGAGATCTCAGCAGGAAGCTAAAGATAGAACTGGGGATCTCCGCGAGGAGCATAGGACCAGACTTAGGCCCCTTTCATGACCCCAGCCCTCCTGGGTGACCACTTGCATGACCCAGGTACTCCAGGCAGTGGCACACACAGGGCTGGGTCACACCTGGGAAGCTCCTGCGAACCACCCCCACAGTTTGGCTGACCACCGCACAGGACCAAGGAACTCCAGCCAGTGGCATGCAGAGCCAGACCAGACCTGGGCCCCTCATGTGACCCTGACATCCTGGCCACCCACCTCAGGACCCAGGAATTCCAGCCAGTGGTGCATATCGCCATAGTACCACTGCTGCCGTTGGGGACCCAACCCTCTCCACCTATTGGACCTAGTATTGCTGCTGATCTTCAGCTCTAACTCCTCCCCCTCAGAACTTTGGACTGCAGTGGATTAACCATGCTGTATTGAGAGGAGACACAGTAATACCTCATCCAAACAGAAAGACTCAGTAGGCTTCCATCAGTGAAGTGAGTTTGCCCCTAAAATAGGAATAGAGTTTGCCACCTTCAGTGAGTAAACAGGAGCAATAGCTAAGCCCCCTCCAAAAGTAGGCTATTGGCGAGCTTGACAAGAGGGTGGGTGAGTCCTTCCTCCATGGAGAGAACATCATGTATGTTAGGAAGGGTGCCAAAAAAGCCTCCCCCAACCTGGAAAAAATTAAAAGAGCCTATGAGACACCAGGAAACACAATAGGGTCCCAGATGAGACAACTAGAAGTTAATGATTAAAGAAACTGCAAAAACCCCACAACACATGGAAATTGAATAATACATTCTTGAGCAATCAGTGGGTCACAGAGGAAATTAAAGGAGAAATTGAACAGTATCTGCAAGCAAATGAAAATACAAATACAACTTACCAGAATCTGTGGGATGCAATGAAAGCAGTCCTCAGAGGAAAATTTATTGCACTGAGTTCCCACATCAGGAAAATAGAATGAACACAAACAACCTGATGCTATACCGCAAACATCTAGAAAAAGAAGAGCAAGTCAAGCCCAGAGCCAAAAGAAGGGATGGAATTATAAAGATCAGTGTAGAAATTAATGCAACAGAGACTAAGAAAACAATACAAAGAATCAGTGAATCAAAGAGTTGGTTCTTTGAAATAAATAAAATTGATAAGCCACCTTACTTTAAAAAGGGGGAAAAAAACAAATTCATGCAATCAGGAATAAAGATGTGAAATCACTACAGACTCTTTGGAAATACAGAAGATCATCAACACCTATTTCAAAAACCTCTACTCTCTTAGGTTCAATAACACAGAAGAAATGGAAAGATTCCTAGAAACACATGAAGTACCAAAGCTGGGTCAAGAAGATGTAAAACTGCTGAATAACCCAATTTCTATTAATGAAATTGAAAATGTAATTAAGTCCTCACCTACGAAGAAGAGCCTAAGCCTAGATGGATTCACTGCGGAATTCTACAAGAAATACAAAGAAGACTTAAAGCTAACACTCCTCAAACTCTTCAATGAAATCGAAAGGGAAGCAATTCTTCCTTAGTCATTCCTGGAAGCAAATATTGCTTTAATACCAAAACCTGAGAAAGACTCAACTAAAAAAGAGAACTACAGCCAATCTCCCTAGTGAACACAGATGCAAAAATTCTCAATAAAATACTGGCAAACAGGATGCAGCAAATCATCAAGAATATTATACACCATGATCAAGTGGGATTCATCCCAGGCCTGGAGGGATGGTTCATCATATATAAATCAATAAACATAATCCACCACATCAATAAAACCAAAAGTAAGAATCACATGATCATTTCTATAGATGTAGAAAAAGCTTTTGATAAGGTCTAACACTCATTCATGATAAGAATTTTACAGAGAATTGGAATAGATGGTCTTTACCTCAATATGATAAAGGCCATCTATAATAAACCAACAGCAAGCATCATATTAAATGACCAAAAACTGAAAGCCTAACCTCAAAATCAGGCACAAGACAAGCATGTCCTTTGTCACCACTCCTACTAAACATAGTACTGGAAATACTAGCCAGAGCAATTAGACAAAAGAAAGAAATAAAAGGAGTAAAGATAGGAAAAGCGGAAGTTAAAGTATCATTACTTGCAGATGGCATGATACTCTAAAACTCCATTGAAAGACTCCTAGATA